ATGCTCGGGGGAAATGCAGCTCTGCTAGCCTCGGGTTCAGTTTGACCACCATTTATTTGTGTTGCAAGCTTAGGGGGTGTGGCCCATACGAAAGTTACCAACCCTACCTTCTTTCTACCCTTTGGTAGTTTGTAAGGTTTATATATATTTTTGAGCTTCATAGGATATTAACAGTACACTTATTCTGAGTATCAGTGACTCTCTTCAAACAATTAATGATACAATTAATGTTACTGGACATAATGTATACACTTATACTCAAAACCTGTGTCCTTGTAATGAATATACTTTTGAATTGACACTGTCTATGCCAAGTTGCAATCAACAAAGCATTAGAATCATATCTACAGGTACAACTAATTTTGTAATTATTTCTGTTATCATTATTCTTATAGAAGCACCAAATCCTGGCAATGTATCTGCATTATATCTAACCAATGAAACATTAATAATAAAATTTCAAGTAAGAGTATTTACACTATACACTATAAGATTAATTATATTACTAGATACATCAGTTCTTCATAAATAATATTCAGTTGCTTTTGGTTGGAGCTAATACTTTAAATACATTAGGTCCATTAGATATTAACAGTCTTCAATATATTGATGAGTTTTATATTATACACTGGAATATAAAACTAAATGATCATTCATTGTATTACCTAACAGTATCAGCAATTGGTACATATGGAACTAGTACTTCAACAGAAATAAGTAAGATAAATTTATCAATGTATGGTAAGTGTATGCACGTACTTGTTATAGATACATATAATGTAAAGGATATAATAATAGAGAGGGATGAAGATATTGTCTGCTTTATTTGTGTTACTGAAGTGCTTAATGAATGTCAGTTAATGATAACAACACTGATACCACAATCAATGCAAACTAATGGAACATGTTATTCATTTACTGATAATGGAACATACACTGTATATGCACATGATATTGAGAATGGAATAAAGATACTGACACCAGCAATAGTTATAGAATATACAGTGGACTGGATTGAACCAATTATACCCCTGATACCATCAGACACAGGTTAGTAAAGAGCTATTATAAATTCTATTTACAATTATATAGTGAGTATTACATTTTCAAGCACTGAAGAGTTTATTATATACCAAACAAGCAGCAAAGGATTGATATTCTCAATGTATAGTTCAGCAATGCTAACTACTACTACTACTACTACTGCTGCTGCTACTACTACTACTGCTACTACTGCTGCTATTACAACTAATACTACTAATGTTGGTTATCAAAGTATGTTTACTTAGCACAGTATAATGGAATGTTCAATGTACACTTTCAATAGGTCAATCACAGGTAGTACTGGGAGTTCTCCTTGGACTCACAACAATTGCTGTTCTCATACTATCACTAGCAATGATTATAATACTGAGGAAAAAAGGTAAAAGGAGACACATTACATTATTTATCATTATTATTGTTATTATCATTTGAATGCTATAAAGGTAAAGCAAGGTCTGACAACTCTATACCTGATCATACTCCAGAAACTTATGAGATTCCAGTTAATACAAAAGAGAATCCAACATATGACATGATAAACAATGAAATACCATCAACTAATGCCAACTACAGCAACTATACTTCTCTTAGTATCAGTACTACTGATAAGTCAACTGTATATGATGTCCCAGAAACAAGGCCTCAAGTTTCATCTTGCCCATATAAAGTTGAACGTTTTAAATGATACATTAATTGTAACTCATAAATACACACACACATGTATTTTAAGTATTGTAGTTCAATATGTGTAAAGGTTGCATGAATTTATGCTCATAGTAAAGAAGACTTAACAAATAAGTATTGAAGTTATTATCAACACAAAAGCATTGAAAGACAAACAGACTATGTACAGGTGTAAACTATGAATGAGCTATGATACAAACATTATTGAAATATTGCATACAAGTACATTGTACCTTATAATCAAGTCATAAATAAAATCAAGCAAATGGTAAACAGATAACAATCATATCTATGTATTTTATAAACATAGTCCTCGCCCACGCTAATTGCTGCCGAGGCCAAAAATGATATGCATAAATATGTATGCCATATCCTTTCATTTCTCACTTAACATATGCTGTCTATTTGCTTACTTGCAGAAAGCATATGTACTTGTACAGATCAATGTACACATTGATGCACATATCAAAGACATTAAATACATGAAATCCCCACACTTACACAAACACAACACAACATCACATTGAATACTTGATTATAATACTCAAAATATGTAATGCTATTACTGTTATTAAATTAAACTCTGTATACCTTTGGCCACAAGCATAATTGGCCAACATTTAAAAATTATAATAAAAATAATGGTAACTGGTATTAACAAGAAAAATAGATAAATTAAGTAAAAACAAATGCTTTAAAACAGATCAACAACAGATTCTAGGCAATGTCAATAGTACTGGGTTCAATTGTATGGTACAATACAGCTTAGAGGTCCCTGCTTTTTGTTACAACTAACAGTATATCTTTACACTATGTTAATGAGTAAGACTATCCAGTGAACAACATAATCAAAACATATAAACAATCACTATTACAATATTTCCCTGTTGCCTTACACACACAAACAGTATAACAGAATCCAAATACAGACACTACATCAAGTGAGTGACATTATGTAACATGTTATTTGAATCTTATCAGTAATTGTATGTTAATGGTCCTTTGTAGAAAATTTAAAGTGACCTTGATCAAAATTGAATTTTTTATGAATTTTTATTGTTACTCAAAAATCTAACCAAAGTCCCAGTAGAATTTTCCATTTTTAGAATTGTCCTGGTACATATACATGTTTTTATGTAGAGTAGAAAGTTTGAAGTGATTCCGATCAAAATTGGATTTTTTACAAATTTCTAAAGTTGCTCAAAAATCTGATCAAATTAAGTCTATGTACTATAGTACATGGTCTTGGGTCAAAATTTGCCAAAATTAAGGACAAAATTCTCTATTTTATAATTTCAAAATTATAAAAACTTTACTGCTTAGTTGGTCCTTTTTCTATTACTACTATTATTATATTGGCCTAGTTATATAGTTAAGTATTAATCTAAATACATCAGTCATAATTATCAAAATACTGAATTTCATGATTGCGATGCTCATTGGCCTCGCCTACGCGAGGTATAGGTAGTTGTTGCATAGATACTACATACTATGGTTGTTGTTGCCCTCGCCCACGCCGTAGGCGTATAGGCGAGGGTACTGCGCTCGTCGTGTCAGTGTGTGTGTGTGTGTTCGCAATATGGCGTCTTTTTCTCTGTTTTCAAATCCTTGCTGCTCTTTGCTCAGGTCCTGTGGAGTCCCACTGTCAACTAAAATAATTGCCAAAAGTAGTTTTTCTTCAGTTTACTTCTTCATCTGTCTATGAGCCAGTAATGTTGCTAAACGTAGTCAGGATTCCGGGTAACTCTCTCATGACGAAGGTAATAATGCAATAGAACATACCAAACGATAGATTGAAAGTTTTTATTCATTTAATATGTAGGAAATTTGTCTTAAATTCTTAATTTCTGAGATATGGTAGCTCAAACATCGCTTACCGCGACTGTTTACACGAGGTCCTGTTCTCCAGGAAGATCTGTCAGAGTCTTTTAAACTGTAGATTCTTACTATCAAGTTTGTATACAACAAATAGAGCCTGATTATTGTGTCATAAACTGTGTATAAGTGTAGAAAACTGAAGCTTTTTACCAGTAACTGTCCATTGTGTGTAACTATGAAGTAGGCGGTGCTTAATTTGAGCCACACCTTTAATTGCTGCAGCAAGCAATGCAAGGCTGAGCAAGCTAATGTGTACAGTAACAGTAAGAGCAGCATCCTCTGAAGAACAAATTAATGTTTCATTTGTGTTTTTGTAGTATCCCAGAAATCACGTGACTGTAGAACGCTGAATTGTAATAAATGTAATGTGTGCCTAGACTTAATTATTGGTTGTATGTCTTGTCTGTAATAGATCCCTTCTTAATAATTTGTGTTAATGTGAAACTATTTCATAATTTGTGTCATAGTATATAAATGTTTGATTCTGTTGTTTTGATTGATCTTTTGATTGTTAATAATCGTATCTATAAGAGTAATATACTGCAGTTATGTCATGCTGATTGTGGCGAGGGCATGTGCTATAGTGCACTCGTGTGTGTGTGTCATTCATTCATTACCCGAGACCGCGTAGGTGTTGTTACCCGAGACTGCGTAGGCGTTGGTCGAGGGTAAAGCAGTCGTCCTGTCTGTGTGTTCGCTTTGACCTCCACTTTTGAGCTGATGCTGCTTTCTTGTCTTGTCCTAGAGAGTCTTATAATCAACACTGGCTCTAGAAAAAGTTATTCTCCGTCTTGGGAATCCTTGATTGTCTTTTCCGTGGTAAAATAAGCTGGCAAAGTCGCCAAACGTAGTCGGCTCTCCTGCAGCTCTTTCGTAGTGAAAGCAAAAGAGCAACAGGGCAGATAAAACAATAAAGCAAAGCCTCATCTTTCATTAATATGAGAGGAATTGCTCCAATCTTCTTCGTTTTAAAGATATGATAGCCCAAACTTTCATATCTTGTGAGTTTAGACGAGGCTCTCTTCTCCCGAGGTAGCGGCCAGAGTCTTTTAACATTAGGGACTAGATAGCAGTTTGTATGCAACAAATAGAGCCTAACAAATGTATGCTAAACTGTTTAAAAGTCGAGAAAAACCAAAGCTTTCTTCACCACTTAGGGCCATGTGCCACCATTTACTGTGTTGGGGGTGGAGCATGGCTTGATTGAGCCACACCTTCATTGGAGCCACACCTTTACATTGCTGCAGCTAGCAGCAGTGCAGCAAATATGCTGGAGCTCTTTGTTTAAAAAAACAAAAAATTCTCAGTCTGTCTCAAAACATTCACTAAGTTTTAATAAATTTAGTACATGCTGAAGCTTCTTCTTTGTCTCAAAACTTTCACCAATTATTTTCTCTTAATTTATTGAAACTGTTACATACAGATTGTGTCGAGGGTACGCACTTTAGTGCTCTCGTTCATTCATTCTGTACAACTGAAATTTGTTTTTAATAAACAATAACTTTAGCACAGCGTATTCTAAGCTCCTAGATCTTTCTTTTTGACGTGGAAAAGTCTTTCTTAACTGTTTTGTGTTGCTCAAATACAAGTGCTAGGTACAGAAGCTTCAAAGTAAGAAAATCGAGTAGTTGGGCCAAATTCCGTTGTGTTGGCACTTTAGAGATAGCTGGTAGCATTTTTCAGTAGATTATAACATGGCCTTCAAAAATTATGAACAGATTTCTCTAAATCTTACTTGATGAAGAGTTATACTTACTTGAAATTGTTGAGGTCACTCGTTTGTGCAGCGCTAGAGCAACACTTGCTGGGTTAAAGGTACTAAAGTACCTATACTATCTCAAATATACAAAGGCAGCAACTTTTTTTGTCAGCAAGTTTATCATATATTGCTGATTAGTAAAGAAAAAGTGAAGCTTCTTTCTCACATGGTCTTCTTGCTGACACTCATTCCATCCAGTCATGGAATGCCACACCTTTCAATCTACATGCATGGGAGGGGCTGGAGCTGCTTGCATGTATGTGCTGCAGTGCTGCTGCTTCTGCAGGTATTCAAGAGCAAGTGCAACTGTAGGAAGCTAGTGTTGAGCAGACTCTCTTCATGCTGATAATCAAACAGTTATTGAAGTGCGGGCATGCACCATAGCAGCTATAGGGGCGAGGCCATGCACCGTAGGTGTCTCGTTTTACTAATGACTGAAAATTAATCTGTATATTTCACTAAAGGTAGCCACAACTCAGCATTGTGAAATGAAGCAATAAAAATGTTAAAACTCCTCTGATAATAGAGCCACCATTGCTGTTGATGACACTATCAAAAGCATAAATTTCCCCACCAGTGCACCCCACCTGTAACAATTAGTAAGCAAAATTATGGTGCATTCATGTAAATATTAATATATAAGTTAAATCACTGAGGTCATTTGTAGATCAACATTTGAGCGATTGTGTGTGCAATGAAAGCTATAAGCCAAAATTGTAGCTATTTATACATGCACAATCATCAAATAGCTGTCAACTGCTGAATCACTAATTCACTAGCCCTAGATCAGTTAATGCAGTGAAAGATGATAGTGTTTGTGATACTTATCTACTTCAATATTCTCCTTGTTAGCTCTGAGGGTAACTATCTTCCCTTCCTTCATCCTACTGACTATTCAATACTTGATGATGATCTTGATTGGGCTGTAAATGTGCCACTGCCATCCCCATTAAGATTTGGATCATCATGTCACACTGAAGCATGGGTTAGTTAATCTTATATAGAATCAGTATGATATAACTCTATCTATAGATAAGTACTCATGGATTGATTAGTTTAGGAACAAGCTTTACTGAATACAGACCTGATTCTTTTCCTATTATTACTCCAGTCATCGCAGCATTTTGGGATGACAATGACTTAACTGGGAGAGGTGAAGCACGTTATGCTATTGTAACTCCAACAACAAATCTTTCATTGTGTAATCAAGTCAATAATTACTTATCTACTTCAACTGGTAGTAGTGTATCTGTTGAATGGATACTGTGGGTCTACTGGTATGACCTATGTCCATATGGTGATAGATATTGCAACTATACTGAGGTTAATAGTATCTATAACTTATATTAATAATTCTTTTGTAGTCCAATCATTTTCAGGTTGTATTAGCTTATCAAAGTAATGCCACATATGCTGTGTTTATATACAAGTGTGGACTCATAGAATGGACAGAATATGGAGCAGGTGTTGGTATTAATAGTGGCAGTGGGTACTATATCAATCATCCACTATCTAATACTGGTAATGTTACTGACATAGACTGCTATGATGCAGTATCAGGATGGACTAATATTGTATACAGACTAGATCAAGGTACTATTAATGGATGTAACATATTCTTACAGTTTAATTAGTTATAGATCAGTTTGAATTCCTATCTATTACACCTGACAGCATTACAGTATCATGGGAACTTAGTAATCCAAATATCAACAGTACACTTATTCTGAGTATCACTGATTCACTTCAAACAGTTAATGAAACAATTAACGTTACTGAATACAACAATGTATACAATTATACTGAAGACCTCTCTTCTTGTAATGGATACACCTTTAAACTGGCACTGCCCATGTCAAGTGAATGTAAGGACAGCATTAGCATATCAACAGGTACAATTAACTTATTTTAATAAAATTACAATTATCACTTTTTTA